AGTTGCTCTTCATCTAAACCAAGATGATTCAAGCGCATATGCTATGGATTGCTACACTACAGAAGTATATCGACAGACTTATGCCGAGATTATCTACCCTATTCCACATCCTTCTGAGTGGGACATACCAGATGACTTACAAACAGTTTTGCCACCAGCCATGGACAGAAGGCTACCTGGCCGACCAAAAAGTAACGATCATATACTGTCTAAGGGTGAAGAGAAGAAGAGATCGACATGTAGTCGGTGCAAGGAAAGTGGTCATACAAGGTTGACATGTGGATCACCAGTGCCATCACAATCAACTTTTCCTCTACCAAAATATGGATCATCATCAAAATCCAAAGCTCATATGGTGTTAAGCAAAAGGCAATCAAAATCGCAATCAAAATCAAAATCCCAATCACAACCGGCTTCACCTTTTGGGACTATTAACTTAGGTGATTTTTAAATGCAAACGTTGTATTATGTGTATTTTATGTGTAAACTTTTAATATTTTCAGTTAGGCCCATGTATATTAGTAACTTGAGTTTGAACATTTCTATGATTTGTTTAGTTGTTATCACTTATTACACATTCATTTGACTATCGCAACGCGAATATGACTATCGCAACGCGAATATGACTATCGCAACGTGAATTTGAATATCGCAACGGGATAATCGCAATGCGAAAATGACTATCGCAACGCGAATTTGACTATCGCAACGGGATAATCGCAATACGAAAATGACTATCGCAACACGAATTTAACTATCGCAATGCGAATTTGACTATCGCAACGCGAAATGACTATCGCAACGCGAATTTGATTATCGCAATGGGAATTTGACTATCGCAACGAGAAAATCACAAAGTGTATTAGACTATCGCAACGCGAATAAGATGCAGATTGAAATCAACAAATCAACTTTTACATTTCAATCAATTAAACAAGCACAAATAAGAATTATTTACACATCAATAATAAACTTTTAATCAATTAAACAAGCACAAATAAGAATTTATTTACACATCAATTAAACAAATAAGAATTATTTACACATCAATTAAACAAATCAACTCTTATTATATTATTTTTCTCATCAATTAAACAAGTCAGACTTTTAAGAATCAATTACAATAAAAAAAGTGTACCCCAGACAGTTGTTTATGCACATCAATTTCATGCAGCTCACTTCAGGATTAACCTGTAGAAACCAAACATTTGCTCAAACAATACTTTCTACACATCTAAAACCAACAAACAACAAATTATATTGAATTCTAGGTACTTAACAACACTTGCATTTGACTTACCAATTGTTTATGGACACTTTCATAACGCGGATGCAGGTAGGCAGCGTCTCGCATATATTGTTCTAGCCATAAAATGCCGAAACCACAAGCCTACTACACCTCTATCTCTATCGGTGGGAGGTAGAAACTCTGTACTTACTTTCGTCAAACGCTCCAAGCACATGCATACGAGAGGACCACAATCCCCTCTGGCTTCTTGCGTTTGTTGTGGCGCGGTCTCATCTCTGATAACTGTAATATTGAACTTCTTTGGCTTCTTGTTTCCAGAATAAGTCCAATAATTAATCACATCCAAGAATTTAGCCAAATGAGAGCTCCATCCCTTAATAATATCTCTCAAATCAGACAATGATATGTAATTTATCATGCTGTCAATACTATTGTCTTCAGGGATGGAAGCTGAAGCTCGACGAGAAGCAAATGAGTACGTTCCAAAACAGGGATAAACACCTACAATCATAAGTAATAATTCAATTACACACTTATTTATAAACACCTTTAACATATTTAAAAAATAAATACTAACCTTATCGACCTCCCACCATGCAGGATAAAGTTTAGCTTGTCCATTAGCCAATACATATGATTCCTGTCGTTGATTCTTCATGTGAACTACGTGAAAAGACGTCGGCATAATTGTATATCGCGTATTTTTTTATTTTTCTTGATTTTCCTTATTATTAGAAGACGTGACACCCATGCATCAATATGTTGTTTACAAAAAAAGACATATATTAGTGAATTACATAAATTTTAAAAAAAATTAATCAAAATGAAATATAAGAAGAAAAATATAAGACTTACCCCCTCATCGAAATAGCCTTTGTCTTCAACCCCTAATAACACACCCCACCAAGACGAATCAATCAACAAATGCATATCATTGTTGAGTTTGTATATGTCAGCGTAACACCCCTGGCTCCGCTCATGTAGATAAAAATCAACTGCGGTCTTAGCCCAAAGGGTATTATCCAGAATTGTTTCCGGTAATTTTTTCCTCTCCACTTCATCTGCCGGAATGGTACTGGCTGGTAACTTATACGAAAGCCAACAGTCATCCATCATGTCTGGCACGGGAGGGGGTTTCTCAATAATTCGATATAATATGCCGTGTGAATCGGGCTCTAGAATGTTGGGAGGGACCTCTTCAACAATGACAGGGGCCTCTTGAATGGTGGGAGGGGACTCTTGAGGGATGATAGGGGCCTCTTGAACGATAGGAGAGGCCTCTTGAACGATGACAGGTGAGTCAGGCACTATCGACGTCATCCATCCGAGTAAAACCATCTTTCTTATTAAATAATCTTGTCAAGTCGTCGACGTGTAAATTCGGCTTCTCCATTGACAGATCAGGAAAAACCCGGGATAACCATGATGGGTGGGTAATATGACTAGTGTATCGACCTACATCATCGTGTCCGAAGCGTAGACCAGTGATTAAGCAAAATTTCTCCCGCCCAAAACACGTATACGCCGGTGGAAAATGAAACCATATCTCTTCATTACCACGTTCTATACTCTCGGGTAGATCGCGTGTCATGGTCTGAAGCTACAAATGGGTCAACATAGCATCTCCACCCGGATGTTGTACTTTCAGCCATGGCCCGAAGCAAGTATCCTCAAACAATTGTCTTTGTACAGGTGAAAGCTTCGACGCAATTGTAGTGACTAGGCTTATTTTATTCCTTAAGGTCAATTGAGCCGAAAAAAAGTTCTACAAAAACAATAAACATACCAAGTTAGATATACCAAAAACTACACTGTGAAGATATACCAAAAACAATAATAAACATAAAGCGTAGTAGTTTATTCTTCAAACTTAATTTTGCAACACTGTGAATTTCGTATTTGTCTTTGTTTTTTGGTTGAAGTAATGCAATTCATTCAAGTTTCAATTTGCAGAAGAAGAATAGTTTATGAAACTTAAAACCGCAACATGAAAATAAAAATCGCAACACGAAAATGATTATCGCAACGCGAATTTGACTATCGCAACGAGATAATCGCAACGCGAAATGGCTATCGCAACGAGATAATCACAACGCGAATTTTGTCATTGCGATTTTCATTTCGCGTTGCGATTCTCGGTTTCAAATGGTCATTGTCTAAAATTGAAACTTGAATGAATTGCATTACTTCAACCAAAAGACAAAACAAAGACAAATACTAACTTCACAGGGTTAAAGACTAAACAGTAGCAGTATTGGCAGCAATCTATTATTGAAATTACAAGTAAACTTATCATTAATTTCAATATGAAAAACCTAATAATAATGCAAAAATTTCAAAATAAAAATAATTAAAAAAACTAACCCTCGATGGTTGATTTGGTTGATTTTCCATTTCTGATCGTGAATGATTGTGAGGGTGGCTCTGAGAGATGGAGATAGACGGATTTCGCCGGAGATGGGGATGGATTTTGCCGGAGATGGGGACGGATGTCGCCGGAGAGAGTGAGAGATGGAGATGGGACTGATTTGTGATTTAGGGTTTTAGGTTAAGAGTTGCGATTACGGGTAAATATTCGTGTTTGGAATTTGAAAATAAAATATGCGTTGCGATACGAATGGCGCTTTGAAAATCGCATTGCGATTTTATATTATCGCAATGCGATAGTCAGAATCTCGTTGCGATAGTCAGAATCGCGTTGCGATCACGTATTATCGCGTTGCGATAGTCAGAATCGCGTTGCGATCAAGTGTTATCGCGTTGCGATTTACATATTCGCATTGCGATTATCTAAAATCGCAATGCGGATTTCGAAAATCGCAATGCGATGGTCAAAATCGCGTTGCGAATCTGGAAACTAAATTGCGATAATGGAGATCGCGTTGCGATTGGGAGATCGCGTTGCGATTTAGAGATCGCATTGCGATTTTGTTGGTCATTTTGGCAAATCGTAAAAAAGTTGGTTAAAATCGTATATTATAAAAAAATTTCGGTCACTGAAATTCAACTCGACAATGTTGTCGCCGTGTCGTCTTAACAAATAAACGTGCTTGGCCGCTCACCATGAGATTGATACTTGTGGCCTACTAATTTCAGAGATTTACTTTATTTAGTATTGCATTTAAAATGCAATTTATAACAAAAAATGATTTAGAATTATAAGCAATATAAAATTATTTTTGAAACATATTTTTACAAAGTATTTTTAATTCAAATACACAAGTTAAAAATTTCGATTTTTATTGGAAATTTTTAAATTAAAAATTAATTTTAATATTCATTTGTTTTCCTAATGTATTTATTTACAATTTATAAATTTCTATTTATACTTATGTGATCATATATAATATTTTAAGTCATATATTCATAAAAATGATTTTTTTATATTTTAACCATGAATTTAATTAATATGTTTTATATATTAAAATATTAAAAAGTTAAACATCATTTAAACTATATATTTATCCTATATCATGTCTAGAATGTTAATTCATATTTATGAAATATATTTTAACAGAAATATCAAATATTTAAATGTTAAATCAAACGTTTAAACACTCTCTTCCCTATACTTAAAAATAGTATTAAACTAGCCGATCATCAACCAAATTAACATGGTTAATATTTCATCTCTTTTTCGATTTTGAGTTTTCCGTTTATTCTGTTCATTATAATTTAGTTTCGAGTCGACTGAAATTTTAAAATAGCAAAAGTGTATTTATAAGAAGAAAAGTCAATGGCACCATTAATATATATTACTTACACAACGTATTTCTTCAATAACATTTTCGTTTCATGATGTTGATCACAAGTGAAGAAGTTACTCAGAGTTTTGCATTCGCCTGTATGTAGCAAAAAGAATGTTTCATCAACACGATAATGGCTTTGGGTCTACATGTTGCCTTTCATCTCGGATTCTGCCATTCCTGTTTCTGTAAACAGAGTTCCCGTTCACGTAAAAATGGTTATATTGGGACACAAGAGTTAGCTGCCCCCAAGCTTGATGCATCTCAAACCTCATAACTGTATAGTAGCGTTCCAATCTGCAGTATTCGATACCAAAGTAACAAACACTTCCATAGAATATTCGCATATTTGGAATAACCACGACTGAAATTTCCGGTGTACATAACTTCTATCAACTTTCAGATGTGTTCTTGGATCATTCCCTGTATTGCCTGCAAAAGGAAATGGAATATACAACCTTGCAGATATCGAATCATACATTTTCGAGAACTCTGTCGGTACTAACTTCTGACCTTGGGCATTTCACCCCAACTATGGTAAGTTAGAGTCAGTAAGACCCATAGATTTTGCGAGTTCATGAGCAGCTAAAATGTCCGCTTGTTCCTACACACCACATTTAGCACAATGATAGTCAGTCTTTTTATTGGAGGAATCCTGCAATCATGTAAATCATGAGGTAATTGTGCAAATGATAGGATAGCAATACCTGAAGGCGATGCAACAAATACATCAAGAACAGATGTACAAACACCTGCATTAATATTTTCCACGAAGGTTATCATAAAAGTAAAAACTGCAACACATTTCACAAAGACAAGGCGAAACTGTTCTTACAAGATAGCATAGCAAGATTATTCGAGCTGTAGGATATCGCCACAGAAATCTGGTGGCCCTGACAGCTCCTGAATCCAGTAATTTTACAGCCTTCTGTAACTGCAGGAGACAACACAAATCATAGTAAGCAAATAGGATTGTAAATTAGCTTCAGTATATGAATGTCGGAATACCTGTATGCTTGCAGCAGCCGCGTGACGGTGATACACAGGAAGAGGCCTGCAATTATTATATAGATAAGGAAATTTGGGAAATATCAAAAGTAACTGCATAGAGGATGTGGAACTTTCATGAAGTGACAAGCCAATGAACTTTCAGGGCACGAAGATTGCAATCTAATAAAAAGAAAAAAGAAAAACATAACATACTCAAGTGCTTTGATTTCAGTGTCTTCCTCCCAGGAAGATGATGCATGACGAGGAAGTCTACTTCTTTCTACTTCGACCTGTTGATTATAATGGTACATCACAGAAAACAAGGATATGGAATAGCATTAGCTATAACAATAAATGGCTAATCAGTCTTGCAGCATAGGTATCAATAAACCTGTGCTTCTTGAAGACGCTTTATTTCTTTCTCCAACTGGAACTCAGCTGCAGCTTTTTCACTTGCCATAGCTTCTAACTGAGTTTGCTTGTAGTACTGCAAAATGGTGTAGCCACAAGTCAGCATAAGGAAATAGATGTTATACGGAAGATAAAAAACAAATCTCTCTTTCAATTACCAATAGGTCAGTTAGTTCACGATAGCGTTTCTCTAGTTCCATATGTTCCTGAGAGAAGGCAACAACATAAGTAAGGTAATGATTGGGTGTATTTAGATCATAAAATTGAATGTGCCATGAAATATAATCTTATGAATTTGCATATAGAAAACAACTGAATTCCACCACAATTTCAGATGAGAAGGAAATTTAAGAAATGAGATATCAACAACAGTAAATCAGTGTCATAGCTTCTAGTACATGAACTTTCTCCTTGTCCGCAAACATATATAGAACATATATGAGAAGTCTTGATATACTTCAGTATGCGGCAGGCCATAGATGTGTTCTACAGTTAAAATTTTACAGAAGCTTGGCTCCAAGGAGAACTACTTTCACATGAACGTGTAAATGACAATTTTAAGGGAAGTGCAAAAAAATCAAGTTACAAGCAACAATAGGATGTTCTGTAATAATTTGATACCATAATATCTGACAAATTTGAGGTGTTAGTTGAACATAAAACATGCAAGAGAACAAGATCATGTAGCGTGACAGCTGATATACAGCTAGATATTACAATAAATACTTTCAGATTTTACATCAACGATTCTATAAAAAAAAAGATTTTACATCAACGATGCAATAGACATCTACACTTCTGATTACTTCACATCAATCAACAACTACACTTCCTTCTGATTACTGCACATCAATCAAGGTGTATGCATGTATTTGTTTGATTAAAGAAAGAAGAAAAGATGAATAAATTTTAACAGTTACCTGACGTGAATAATGCTCGGCATCTCTCTTCATGGCGGCCATTTCAACCCTCATTTTCTGCACTTCAGCCTGTAGCCAGACAAATTGGTCAAAGAAAACAAATCCATCAGCCAGAAAAAGAAACCAGAATAATCTTTTGCTATAATTATATAATGATAAATGTATTAGGAAAAGACATCTGATACTCGCCTCTAATGAAGAGAGCTTACTCTCAGCATCTCTTTGACCTTGGCGTGCATGCTCCACTTCCTCCTGCCATGCCTGTATCTAATTTCACAATCTTTAAGCCACTGCTTAATACATTAATTACAATCGGTGCGAAAACTCATGGCCACAGATTATGCCTATATCTAGATATTAAATGTCTTTTGAACTGTTTAACTGCAGAATGTTCTGAATGACATAGAAACCCACACTCCAGTAGATTACTTGATGTATTCAGATCATATAAGTAGGATGATTTTTATTTCTAGATTATGGCTACATCAAAATGGTCCAAAAATATTATTAGAAAGAAAGAGTTCAGACAGTTGCATCCACATCATATTTACCTGAAGCATTTGATTTGCTTCTTCTGGGGCTTTCTTCTGTCCGCGGCGAGCACGAGCTTCCATGTCTTGCAATTCTTGATTTAGAGATGCACACTCAACCTGATATATGGATCACTTAAGCTCAAGAGCATTTTGATTTCATATTTAGCTCAGCCAGAAAGAAAACTTTCATATAAATGCATTGTTATCATTTTTGTTTTACCTCAAGAAGTGCCAACTTCTGCTCAAGCTGGGAAGATTTTGCTGTCCTCTCATCGGCAACTCTCTGAATAAAGAAACAAGCAGAAATTTAAAATGCTTGTTGAAATATATAGACGACAAATAATCAACGTACAGCTTCGCAGCTGGACAAGAGGCACCATATTCTCCAAAAACAAATAGTGATATTTTGATGTTCAAAATGTAGATTACATACTATTAGAAGATAGACAGACAGTTTCTTAATCTAAAAGAAAATTTGACAGAAACTAGATTAAACTAAGACTTAGCATCCTAATGGTAAAACCTTTTTCAGGAAATGCATAAATATGGCATAATACTATTAGATTAGAAAATATGAAACTGAAAATGATAAGTCAAAAGTACACTTTAGATTATCCTGATCAATAAACCCATATGGATTGCTTTTTCTTTTCTGCAACTTCAGCATTTGTTATTCGTGCAGATCCATTATATGTTAATTTACGCTTTTTAGTTGAAGAAGCAATGAGGAAAGTTAGATCATGGGGGTATGCTATGTTACAAAATACTTATCTTAGTGGCATTGCTTTACCACGAAAGAAGTACCAAACTAGAACCATTAGTTAATACAAATGTGAATACGTTTGAAAATGATATTTTTCTAGAATAACATACTAAGAAATCCCAAATGTCAAAATAACTTCACCAAGAACATTTTGATGCAAATTTATACCACATCATGTTGGTAACTTGAAACAACTGTTATCCATTTAAAAAGCATGAGGGACTAGCTTTGGAAGGCTAATATTACATTCAGGTTAAAATATTATTGAACATGCAACACTAAGCTACTCAAGCAGCAAGTAAAACAAGAATATTAAATATCAAATTAGGTGCTGATTTGCAGTGGAATTAGAAATAAAGACTCCTTACATTACCTGTATCCTAGCAAGAGCTGTGGATGCCTCAACAGCTCGATGTTCCAATTCCACTTGCCTTTCCATGGCAGCCTATTCCAGAAAATATGATATTATTATAGTGTAAGCAAGTTAACAACAAAAGTAAATACATCGATGTTTAAACACTGACCATTTTGGTAGCATTATGTGCTGCACGTTCTTCTTCTGCTCTCCTCTCTGCAGAAGACAGCTCCTCCCGTAGGGCCTAACAAAGAGGTATACACATAGATTACCAAGTTCATAATGAAACATGTGTGAGAATACACATGCACATGCAAGCAAGAAAGAACCAATTAGTCTACCTGCATCATTCTCGTCTCTGTTAATTCCCTGTTTCTCATAATAGACTCCATGTTTGCCTGATGGTAAGCAATCAAAAGTGTTAACAAACATAGCATTGTCAGAAGGTGCAAGCCAAGAGGACAAAGTGATAGCCCACTGACGAAAGAGACAATATCTAAATGTAGAAGCAAAATAAAGGAACAAAAGTTCGGTAGGAGAAGCAAAGGGATACAGAAGCAGATATGGATACTATAATTCACTTAGGGGGTTACCCGGAACTTATTAAATGAGATAATTTTTAGTTATAAGGGACATGAAATAAGCTCTTTGGGGTTATCTTTCATGACAAAAGCATGACTAAAACAAGCATCAAGATCTATATTATTTCATTTAGCTTATAAAGCTATTAAATAGTCAGATACACAGAATCTGTGGTGATGGGAACCGTTTCTTTTAAGCTAAGCACATAAATTCACCTGCTAAATCAGATAATTGAAAGCTGGTGTATATATTGCATGCAATCTTGACAATGGCTACTTTGATTAGTTCAGTCCATAATAAAGTCTAGTAGAACTGGAATGTCAAATTAGGAACTAAACTTATTTAGTTGAGGAACTAAGCAGAGACCATATTTGCATAAGATACAGCTTCGAAAGCAGGGGATTTTATAACAAATGATAAGTATAGTTTGGATTCAAACCTGAAGTGAAGCCAGATTTCCTTCATATAAAGCAGCTTGTTTCTTAAGAGCGTCCATGGAATTGACAAGTGCCTCTATCTCAGAGTTCTTTGCTGCCAAAGCCTCAACCATATTTGACTCTATCCTTGTTACTTCACTCTTAGAAACAGATAAATCTTGCTGCAGTTGTTTTATACGAGCTTCATATGATTTACTCAGCTCCCTCTGTCAAGGAAGCAATTTAGTTCTAAATATGATTCCTTAAGTTGCAAGTGTAACAAACATGACTATAACTTGAAAATATACAATAAGTAGAAAAAAGATAGAACGAATTACCTCGGCAATTAGAAGCTCCTCAAGTTGTGCATTCTCAGATTTGTACTCTTGAAGACGGGATGAAAGTCCAGCACAAACCTAGAAACCAGTGTATAACAATTTGTTAAAAATCCAAATTACAAAATCAGAAAATAAAGAGAGAAAACAAAAAAAAGCACAAAAAATTTCATCTGTGAGTGGTTACTTGGAGGCGCAAACATTCCTACTGATTTGCAAGTTAGTCTGGTTCCTTTTAAATGTTACTCTTTTCATGAGAAATATTTTAAACAAGATCATTCTTCCAAGCAATTTAACAGAAATATTCTCAATTTTCTACCTAAAAGATGGACGGACACTAATATGACGCAGTAAAAGAATGTTGATAACAAATTAGATGCTTATAGAATACATTACCAGATTCAAGGAAAAGAAACAGATATGGTGACTATATCCCAAAGGTGCAGGTTATTCTGATTCACAACAAAATTATGTCGAGGACACTCCATCATTTACCATCCCACTCACGTATCCATTATGGTCAGGTACTGAACTCTTATTTTCGATAGGTAGAACATAAAAGTGACATCCAATTCCTTGCATACACGTTAATCTCAAATTCTCAATATTTGTCACAGAAAGGAAAACCAATAAATTCAGAGAGCTCACCCGAGCTAGTCTTGCCTCTTTTGACTGACCAGTAGAATTGGTGGTTTTAAGCAGTCCTTGAGCCTGGACAAAAACCAAAGGACTAGTGAAAAAGACTTTTAAATGGATGCAACATGAGAAGATTCCAGAATCAACAAAAAAATCAGATTTCAGTGTATTTGTCACCTCATCAAGTTGGTCCTGGACCATTTTTGAAGGTGTGCCAGAATTTTTCTCTTGTGGTTTCTTTTGATTCACAGGAGTTTCAATTTTAACATCATCTTCTTCTAACTTAGCTTCAGAGTTAACATGAGAATCAGCAACTACATGTTGTAACTTCTCTTGTTCAGTCTTTGAAGGGACATATGCAGTTTGAGATTCAGTATCTTGGCCACCATCAGTTAAATGATCTTCACTGACAACCTCAATATCTTTGGCAGAAAATGATGATGGAGGGTGCTCAACATGAACATCAGGAGCATTCTCATTGAGAAGCTCCCCATTTGAAGTTGACAATGAACCTTCTGCATTTCTAGCAATTGCATAGACTTCTTCCTGATTAACACCATTTTTAAGCAAATCGGTATCCAATGGCTTAGGTGAAGGAACTTTAGGAGTGTCTTTCTCACTGTTTCCATGCAGCTCAGGATTTGCCTGGACCATAGAATTAGCACCAGAGCTTCCCTCGTTGTCAGAAGAAAAAGTCTCCTTCTCTTTATCAGGTGTTACATCAGATTGTAATACTTCTGACTTTGTTTCCTTGCGTCCAGTATCACTAGGTTCGGGAGATTTTTTTGTAGAAAGTCTTTTTTTTTCCTTAACACAAGAAAATCATCTAATTAAAACCGTTTTTATGAACATATTTACTTGAAATATACACTTAAAGCTAATTCATGGTTGCATATTTGTAATACCTTTGTCCTTGGCTTTGTCTTTTCTGCTGAAGAACCTAGCACATTAGAAGCTTTACAATTAAAAGAGAGGAAATATATGTGTGTCTGAGTGTGATGGTGTATGTCTATGAGTGAAACAGGGTGAGATAGAGACACCAGTAGGGAGAGAGGGAGAGAGGGAGAGAGGGAGAGACAAGTGGCAGATATTGTAATTCAGAAAATGAAGAAGATAGTGGTTTTATGACAATAGACCTCTAAAATAAAGTATATTAAATTATGATTTTATTTACCTTCTCATTATTTAAGCGGATATTCTAGTTTTTAGTTTTTGGCTTCTAATATTTCAATTCACTGAAATTATCAAAGCATGGTTACTATTAAGGTTGACATATCTTTCTCCTCTAAGGAAACAAAATACAAGTTTTCAAAGAGTTGCACTCTAATTTAAGAAGGGAGAAAGGAAGCATTAAAGATCCTGCATATTATTGTTATGAGAATCCAGGTTGTAACTTCAACAATATATATATTGGTGCAACAATTGTTGATAAATACGGCTAGTAAAGATTGTTAAACTGTGTTTTATGTCGGGATGATACTAAAAGGAATATCAATATATTGATTTTATCTTACTAAGCACACAGTCCCATATGAGATGGCTATTTGAATGGTTACAAAGACATAATACTATAATAGACACAAGCTTTCATAAACTTGGTCTCTAAATTGGACCTCTAGATATAATCATGAATAGGAAATTTCAAGTACAAAAAGGCACCAATCCATATTTTTCAAATTGATTTCTTCCCGCAAAAAAGCCCAAGATTTTGAAATCCTTACCTTGTGACTGAGAATCAGATTGCTCCTCCGACAGTTCACTAGCAACTAGCTTTGCTCTTCGATCTACAACTTCAAATAAATCTGGTCCAAAATAAAATGTTACCTTCAATTACTATCAAATTAGTAAAGGAAATGTGAATGCTATCTTTACTGATGGATAGTTTAGAGAAACAATGAGGTGCAAAAGCGCATGACAATTCTTTAGAGATTTTCCAAAAGGACTAAAGATTCAGACCATGGTGATGTCACCCCTTGCATGCCTTCATATGTTTATAGAGAACACTTAACAAAATCTAATGGGCAATATTTGAAAAATCAACACGCAGAGGAGAAAATAGATGAAGAACCAGTGCCAATCAACACATGCATGGACCATTCTCATGCTCACTCTAGAGGAGATCATAGATTTCAAACTAAAACAAAAAAATTTAGTTTGAATTTTCTATTTTCTATGGAATGAACATCAGTAATTCCAAGTAACAATGAAATTCTTAAACATGGATGCAAAATCTTCTCTGAAAATTTTTTTTATTTTTGGATAGATTATATGACAGTTTTAAAAACTAAACAACGGGATTCATAGTCTAACCCTAATATCCACAATATCTAAAAGCTATCTATTACCTACAGCCCTACTTGTTACTTAAATACTTAATACTAGACATCTGATTTGATAAAAGGTTCTTATCAATTTTTTCTTAACTAATATGATGGTAAAAGAAAATGGAAAATAAAGTGCACTTTGGACTCAGAATTTCACAACAAATAACAAACAAATTAGAACCGATTACAATAATAATTTCAACACTTGTATCATTACGTCAATTTCACCCAATAACCATTTCTATCTACAAATGTTCAGATATAAAACCAAATAACATTACTTAAAACTCTTTCTTACTGCATAAGATTCCTTGACATTGGCACTACCGAGTGTAGCCACTAATTAAGCAAAAGCTATAATTCAAATCTCCATACGAAAATCTAGCTAAAGCAAGTTCACTTCCAGACAGGCAACAAGATATGTCATTTCCTTGAATTAATAAACATGCCACGATCCCACATAACGTCTCAAGAGAAAGGTTAACCGCGATTCACAATTTACTTCGAACTCTATCACTTGACAAATTCAAATTAGATCTCATAACTTTAAGGGGAGAAAACCTAAAATCCCCCTGCTCTAGAGTTTACAAGCAACTTCATTAGTAAAACAGATTTATAAAAACGAAATTAAGCAAGCTGATTCATTAAAATCTCACGTTTTCACCCGCTTCAAGGACTTAATGGTTCAAAGCTTTAGATCAAACCTTCAAAACTCAATTAAATATTTTGAAGCCTAAAAGAAAGAAAGAAAGAAATGTAGGTTGAGAGGAGCCAGACCTTCGGCAACTTTGAGCCACGAAGCCATGAATTATGAATCTGTAAGAAAATCGTGCCCTAGTGATGGATCCAAGGAGTTTCCATGCACCGGCGGCGACTGATATACTTAGACGATGTCGGCGAGATACGGCGTTGAAATAATTAAGTGGTAACGAGCTAGATCTCTGCTAATATCAAAATGAATTTGGAAAATTTGGAATATCGTTTAAGCCTCTATTTTTAATTAAATAATGGGTAAAGTATAGTATGGTCACTGAACATTTCTGAAACATACATTTAGGTCCTTTAACTTTTAAAACTTACAATACAGTCTCCTAATATTTAATTTATTTGCAATATGGTCCCTACCGTTAAACCACCGTTAGAAGAAGATGATGTGGCAGTTAGATACCATTTGCAGGTATGAAAATTAGGGTAAATTTGCAGAATAACAGAAAACTATTAGAGAAATGACAGAATGAGGAACAAATCACTGAACTGTGCAAGCTGAGAAAGTTAATCCATCTTTTGTTTCGGACCAGCAACCTCCATTGTTTATCGTACATCTCGCAGGTCCAAAGGCTATAAATGGATGATAAATGAAAAGTGGAAACGGGTGAATACATTGCCCATGTTGAATCTAATTTAACATAAGGGAAAAAAGATGCACCTTCACAAGATATGGAACCATCTCCTCTATACTGCACGCCCTTCACAATAGGGCATTCGCATACTCTTCCCCTGAATGTGTCATGAACAAATTCAACATCCCTTTTCATTAGCAGGATTTGTGGAGGTAAACTCTCGCATATTCGATTGTAACATCGAACCGTGTAAACTTTCTATACTTTACCCTGCATGCTGTTATGTTGGCTCGTTTATCATGCCAACATCCACCATTTCTTTCAAGGCACTCATTAGTTTCAACATCTGTTAAAATAACATGAAGTCAATATTAAATAAGAGTGTAAACCGAATTTAGAATGTAAGCAGATCGAATCTACCTGCACTTAAACAAACCGAAGGTTTCATAGTCTCCTTAAATCCAACACAAATGGCCTTCAGCACTGCACTTCTATCCAGTTTCCCTTCATAGCAGGCAAAACAAGAACTTCAGCATCATTTATATAATTAAATAGGAATGTTACGTCTCGTCCACCGACATGATATGTAACGAACCTCGATATTGAACATTATTGATAACCAATGTTGGCAAAATGCTAACGTCATCACGAGAACCTTAGCCAACCTAAGTGCCATAGATTGCAGCAAAATAAGAAAATTGACATTTGCATCTAGTTAAGATCATTAATCTTAAGATATTAAATTTGTTCTTAATATGGGCGAAGAAAAAGGTGTACCCGAAGTTGTTGCTCATGTTTCAAGAATTCATTTTCGACGTCAGCTTCGGGATCACCCAAGCACTTTTTGATTTTCTCAATAGGTAAATCTGGTTAAGCATACGAACCCGATCAAGCGAGAACACCAGAAGATACACAAAAATCCAGAAGAAAAGAACACTTACCAAGAGAACTCATGACACCCTCAGCACATTCTTTGCTATATCTATTCACCTTCATCGAACACCTGATATGGAAATCTGTCACATGATCCCACCAAATCCAGGGCCTTTTTCTCTCATTGGCAACTATGTGCATACAAAGCTGTCTCAAGTTCTCAAACACCACATCCTTTCCTTGATAACCCTCTCTGAAATCATGTTCCGGATCGGGATCACAATATCTTTCATGGTTTATACACTGGGACTTGCACTGACTGCTAAAGATAAAGGGTTTAGGATAATACCAAGTTAGGTAATGTGGTGTGAACAAAGTGTAACCTCCCTTTTCAAGTATCTGGGCATGGCCTTTGAAATTATTTATGAAATTCATCTACTCGTCGCAACGATCTCCGCATTCATCTACTAAAGATAAAGGGTTTAGGACAATACCGTTTGCAAACGGTATCTAACTACCATGTCATCTTCTTCTAACAGTGGTTTAACGGCGGGGACCATATTACAAACGGATTAAATGTTGAGGACTGTATTGCAAGTTTTAAAAGTTGGGAGACCTAAATGCAAGCTTCAGAAATATTCAGTGACCATTACTATACTTTACCCTTAAATAATTTTAGTTCTTTTTTTAAGGAGTACAACAAAAAAAATCATCCTAGTTACTTAAAACTAAAAGTTAGGTTCTTTTAATTAAATAAATCTTGAGTTTAGGTTTTTTTTTTGTTATGTTTTGTTTGGTAAGACTCTAAATATATGTTGGGTTGATCATAAGTAATCCATATCAATATAATCATCACCATTCCAACTAACTAAATACTAAAATTATGTTTTACAAAATAAACAATAATATAATTTTTTTATAAAAGCCTCAATTTTATTATAAATAAAAAATATCTAAATTACAATAAAAGATTACAATTATAATAGTAGACTAACACATAATAAAAATATTTTCTTAAACACGAGAAAATTAATCATTTAAGATCACAAGAATCATACAAGGAAATGTTTTTAAAAAACTAACTAAATAAACTCAGATAAAAGTAGATGCTAACAAATTTGACTGCATCGGTAAACGAACCACAAAAGGGGATAAAACTATTGAAAGATCAACGATAAATTACAAATCATAATTGTTAAGACGTAAAAATACTAATCACGAACGAAAATCATATATCCAAATCCAATCCTAGGTACCAAAACAGGGAAGATTAGCATGATAACAAATAAAGCGTCATCTTGATCAGTCGTGTCAGTGTCAAATCCAACCCTAGAAAATGATAAACAAAAATAACGGTCAAAAACCGAAAATGTGTCATAAATATAAAGGAAAAATGTGTCATAAAGACAAAATTATTAGAAATAAAAAAATGAAAAAAAATAAAGATACATTATAATAAAGCAAAGAAAAATAATGAATATCGATAGTCGGTGATCAATACCAAGACTGATATCGCCGTCGATTATAAGATGAAAAAATAAATGACTGACGGATAAGAAAAAAAGAAAATAATATAAAAATATTTAGAAATTGAAGTTAGAGGGATATAATTGGTTAAATATAACAACATTTAAGGATGGGTTTAGTATGTCAATGACGTTTGGGCTTAATCGGTAAAGGTAAACGTTTAATAATCATGATATTTTATGTTTTGCAAATATAACGTGTTCCGATTTATTGTAATTTATATGTATATGTATTTATATTATTAATTATTTGTGTATTATGATGGTTAGCTCTTCTAATAATTATGGATATAAATTTATATTTTGAATTGTAAATATAGTATAAGTATTTGTAACTTTAAAAAAATGTGTTTATTATTTTTTGAAATAAAAATTTTATTTGATATGAAATTTTATCAAAGACACGTAATTATAAGATATAGGTTTATTAAAATATAAATTTAAAATAATTATATTTAAAGAAAATAATAAAAACATTTATTTTAATTAAATTATATTGATTAATACTTAACTTAAACTTTATAAAAAAGCCACCCTTGTATCAGTTATTTGAAAAACATTATCAGTACAATTCATCTAGTACTGATTCACAAATCCAGAAATACTCTAACTTACACAAAATGTCAACTCTAATTCAATCCTTAAGCTCTCTAAGAGCTTTAAATGTTATTTAAGCTTATGTAAGATTTAAGTATCATATAAGCCATTTATCATGTTTCATAACATAAAAAGCCATATTTACCATGAAAACACTTACAGGCTTTAAGAACTCGTACAAGCTAACCAGCAGACATAATGTCTTATAAGTGGTATAAATGAATTAGAAATGTGTTACCTTACTCCAAGTTGTTAAGAACAACTCTAAATTCACATAAGTATAAACTTTTCCTACCTTTGCTTTTGGAGTTCCCTCCTATTTTTTTCACTAATCATAAGAAAAAAATGAGTTACTAGCTCATCCTAGAACTTAAGAGAAGTAGAAACATGATTTTTAAATTATAAGAATGGATGAAAAACTACTCAAAATTAAATTGAATGAAAGCTCTAGGGAAATTGTAACATCCATACATCGATACAAGTGACCCGATTCGATCTGAGGTGTCACATTAGGGTTACCGGAGCGACCCATAGTAAAATACGGAAAATTTAAAAATTTATCAAAGCATTTAAAACATAAATGATTTATAATAAAATCACAAATTTAGAGAAACATTTACATCTCATAACAGAATTCAAATACACATAGTATCAAAGTAAGTTACAGACTTAGTATGAAAACAAATACGACCTACATGCCCCTTATTTATACAAGTATTGCACTCTGCAAGCAATGCCGAAATAACTCCCATACTGATGTCGATATCGGATAGGATCAATTCCTTCAACCTAAAATGGTGAATAATAGAGTGAGCTTTGGGAAGCTCAGTAATACTAAAGGGCAAGCAGATATGAATCAACATGAATTTCCTTAGTTATCCAGGAATATACATGTCGTAGTGATGAGTTGAGGTTTTACTAATTAGTTATTCAGGTAACAGTTTGGAAGCTTACAGTTCAGAGGAAATGTTCAGAGAGACATATTCAGAAGATAGTTAGGAAGTCTAGCGTGTTCCAACAAAACCATAATTAGTAGTTTATTACAGTAAAACAAATTTTTATAACACAATAATACCCTCCTCCACCATGTACACCAAAATGCAGTTCCCCAGAACTACATTCATAAATACTTACCATATACCCGATGGGATTTACCAGCTAGTTGAACCTCATAACTCCAGACACCTACCCAGACATACACAATATAAATCAGTTCAACAGTAACTAGTAATGTAAAAAATCACGGGCATATATTTTTGTGTAAGAAAATAGAGTTCAGAGATCGTGCCCTCTAATCGAACACCAATATGCAATTTTCCCAAACTGTAAGTTTTGTAAGGAATTACCAGCTAGCTAAACCTCAGGTTCTCCAGACACCTACCCAGACAATACCCCAATAAAGTAGTTTCATAGCACCGGTAAAATCAAAGATCATATTGGACATTTTACAATAACAGTAATCCAGAGATTAGTTACCATAAAATCAAAAATTCAAATTAGAAAAAAAAATCAAAACTCAGGAAAATCAGTAAATAGGATCATAATTTCAAAAATCAGTTAAAACAATCATATGCATAAGGTAGTTCAGATATATATATTTTAAAACATATAAATATAT